AAAGAAAGAGGAACCTGTGGGAGTGACAGTGCTGACAAGAAGGCTCAGGGTCCCAAAGGTGGTGGCAATGCAGTCAAGGTCAGACACATTCTATGTGAAAAACATGGAAGAATCATGGAAGCCATGGAAAAGTTGAAGTCCGGAATGCGATTCAATGAAGTGGCTACACAATATAGTGAAGATAAATCCAGACAGGGGGAGACTTGGGTTGGATGACCAGAGGGTCCATGGTGGGACCATTTCAAGAAGCAGCATTTGCCTTACCTGTGAGTGGGCTGGATAAGCCCGTGTTTACAGACCCTCCAGTTAAGACAAAATTGGGTTACCATATTATTATGGTTGAAGGGAGAAAATAAAGTTGTGTGAAAAGTTTAAAAAAAATTGATTTAGTCTTCAAAATTCTTGACTAGTGTTAAGATAAAATAAAGCTATTTGTACTAATGATTTCCAAATTGTGTTATCTCTGTTGGAAGGAAATCGTTAAAGTAAAGTAAAGGCCCTCTCGTTGATCATCGATTTGCTCAAGCGGGCCCAGTAACGTCTCCATTGGAGACTTTGTTGTTACTGTGTTTGGCATATCGAATACGTCACGGGGAGCTTGCCAGGCTCTGCCGTGTGGGCGAGATACTCTTGGTAGTTTGCCGGGCTCTCCGAGAGGGGTGGAGGAATCGAACTCAGGTCGATCATGTTGGCTGCGTGCAAGGCAAACGCCCTACCGCTGTGCTATCGCTCGTTAATAACCATAAATTTTGGGGGGGTCACACCCGGCGATGCACAGGGGTTACTCCTGGCTCTGCACTCAGGAGTTACTCCTGGTGGTGCTCAGGGGACCATATGGGATGCTGGGAATTGAACCCAGGTCAGCTGCATGCAAGGCGCTGTGCTATCTTTCCAGCCCCAATAACCAAAAATTTAACACATCTAGGAATGTTTAACTACTGAAACTTTTGATAATTTAAATTTCTAGAGTTATTTTAGAAAAGGTATATTTGTACTAGTTGGCAGTTTTGAGACAAAAGCTCAGCCCTCCCCTCCAGGTGAAATTCAGGGAACTCATTGGAGAAAAAAAGGTTGTCTTAAAACTCAACTGCTCCTGCAAAGAACCGCTTTGACTTTAATGATTTCTAAGAATGGAGAATTGGCAAATAATGTGGAAAAGAACTGGAGTCTGCCTTTTTACATTATATTTTAATTCATCTGCACAGTATGTGGAAATGCATATTTTTATTAACTTTATCAATTATATATTATTAACTTTTTCAGTATCAAACCTAGCCCTGATCTTAAAGAGAGTTTTATCTATCCACAAGTATGAAATCCTCATTGTTTCATGGCAATGTATGTGTTTTAGCCCTGTAATATCTGTATTTTTCCTAGAAACCAATGTTTAAAGGATAAAATTCTTTTTAACATTTCTTAAATTTTTATTTTTAATTTATTAATTTTATTTATTTATTTATTTTTGCTTTTTGGGTCACACCCGGCAATGCACAGGGGTTACTCCTGGCTCTGCACTCAGGAATTACTCCTGGTGGTGCTCAGGGGACCATATGAGATGCTGGGGATTGAACCCGAGTCAGCCGTATGCAAGGCAAACACCCTACCTGAGAGATATACAGTTACAACGTTGTTCATGATTGAGTCTCAGTCATACAATGTTTCAACATTCATCCTGCCACCAGTGCACATTTCCTACCACCAATGTCCCCAGTTTTCCTCCTCCCTGCCTCTCTTCTTCTTCTTCTTCTTCTTCTTCTTCTTCTTCTTCTTCTTCTTCTTCTTCTTCTTCTTCTTCTTCTTCTTCTTCTTCTTCTTCTTCTTCTTCTTCTTCCTCTTCCTCTTCCTCTTCTTCCTCTTCCTCTTCCTCTTCTTCTTCTTCTTCTTCTTCCCCTTCCCCTTCTCCTCCTCCTCCTCCTCCTTCTCCTTCTTCTCCTTCTCCTCCTCCTCCTTTTCTTCCTCCTCCTCTTCCTTCTTCTCCTCCTCCTCTTCCTTCTTCTCCTCCTCCTCCTTCCTCTTCTTCTCTTTCTTCTTCTTCTTCTTCTTCTTCTTCTTCTTCTTCTTCTTCTTCTTCTTCTTCTTCTTCTTCTTCTTCTTCTCCTTCCCCTCCTTCCCCTCCTCCTCCTCCTTCTCCTCCTCCTCCTCTTCTTCCTCCTCCTCCGCCTTCTTCTCTCTCATTTTCCTATTAGGCACTGTGGTTTGCAGTACTGTTACTAAAAGGTTTTGCATATCACTTTACCTCCTTTCAGCACTCAGTTCTTGTCCAGAGTGATCATTTCCAACTACCATTGTCATCGTGGTCTCTTCTCTGTCCCAACTGCATTCCGTCTCCCCCTTGATGGCCAGCTTCCTACCTTGGACCAGTTCTCCTGGCCACTTTTTTCCTATCATCTTTGAGCAGTATTCACATACTGTAGGTTTTATTTTGTTTTTAATATTCCACAAATGAGTGAAGTCATTCTATGTTTGCCCCTCTCCCTCTGACTATCACTCAGTATGATACTCTCCAAGCACTGGAGCGATAGCACAGCGGTAGGGCGTTTGCCTTGCACACAGCCAGCCCAGCCGAGCCGGTTTCAATTCCTCCGCCCCACTCGGAGAGCCTGGCAAACTAATGAGAGTATCTCACCTGCGCAGCAAAGCCTGGCAAGCTCCCCGTGACATATTCTATATGCCAAAACAGTAACAAGAAGTCTCACAATGGAGACGTTACTGGGCCCGCTCGAGCAAACCGATGAACAATGGGAGAACAATGCAGTGCAAAAAATGGTACTCTCCATGTCCATCCATGTATCAGGAAATTTTGTGACTTCATTTTCTCAACAGCTGTACAGTGTTCCATGGTGTAGATGTACCATAGTTTCTTTATCTGCTCATCTGTTGTCAGGCACTTGGCTAGTTTCTATATTCTGGCTTTCATGAACAGTGCTGCAGTGAACATAGGAGTACAGATGGCTTTTCTGCATTGTGATTTTGGGCCACTAGGGTCTATCCCCAGGAGCGGTATTGCTGGGTTATATGGAAGTTTAATTCCTAGTTTTTTGAAGAATGTTTGTATTGTTCTCCAGAAAACCCGGATGAGTTGGCATTCCTACCAGCAGAGAATGAGAATCCCTTTCTCCCCACATGCCAGCACTGGTTGTTCTTTTGTTTGTTTTGTTTTTTTTTTCTTTTTGGGTCACATCTGGCGATGCACAGGGGTTGCTCCTGGCTCTGCACTCAGGAATTACCCCTGGAAGTGCTCAGGAGATCATATGGGATGCTGGGAATTGAACCCAGGTCGGCCGCGTGTAAGGCAAATACCCTACCCGCTGTGCTATCACTCCAGTCCCCAGATAAGAACTTCTATCTTGTTTTTCTTTTTATTTCCCTTGCCTTTTTGGATCAAATCCGGTGATGCTCAAGGGTTATTCTTGGCTCTGCACTCAGGAATTACTCATAGTGGTGTTCAGTGAACCATATGGGATGCCAGCGATCAAATCCAGTTGGCTAAAGGCAAGACAAATGCCTTAATGCCCTACCTATTGCTCTGGCAGTTTATCTTGTGCTTTCTAAGGAATCTTGCCCCACATAGGTTAGGAAAAGGGAATTCTGTTTAAATGAAACTGGCTAGTTGTGAATGGCTAGTTGGAATGAATAAAAGTTACAGGTGAGAATAAATGCAATGGAAAGTGTAGAAAGCTTGAAGCTTGTGTTTTAAGAAAATAAATTATGATCAAACTGGATTGTTATAAGGATATCTTTAAATTATATCTTCAGGATCATTCTAATACCTTTTTTTGGGAAGTCTATGGAAAGATATTAGACAGATGCTTCAGATTGATGTTACAGTGCTCTTGGACAATTGGACACTTAAAAGTTACTGAAAATCTGGGGCTGGAGCGATACAGCACAGTGGGTAGGGCGTTTGCCTTGCACGCAGCCAACATGGCCAACACAGGTTTGATTCCCAGCATCCCATATGGTCCCCTGAGCACCGCCAGGAGCGATTCCTGAGTGCATGAGCCAGGAATAACCTCTGAGCATTGCCGGGTGTGACCCAAAAAGAAAAAAAATGCTACTGAAAATCAAAGTTTTCAACATTGGACTAAATGAATTAAACATGATATTGTTAAACTCTATGATTATACCGCTATAGATTTTAACAATGCTTTGAGCAGAACCCACAGCAAACAGATTGCATCTTAGGTGAGTAAAGTGAAAAATTTGCTTTTTCTCTTCCTGATGTCTCCAGTACATTTCATGACACAGGGAAATGAAACTGCTGATTTCGTAACAACTCCTGTTTTTCTTCAACTTCTGAACTTTAACCAGCGGTTACAGTAGACTAATAAGGTGTGGTGTATGGATATCACACGTACCCTAACCTTCCCCACGGAGCCTTTTCTTCATGTTGTGACTGACACCTATTCATTTCTTCTGGGCCATCCTCATGAGCCCTGAAAGGCCAAAGCGATGTTCTTTCTTTTAGAGTGCCTTGCCACCTGGACATCCAATCTATTATTAAAGGTGATCACAGTATTGCATGTACTAGCAAAATTTACTGTGTCTTTTGCCAAAAATGGCAAATCAAACATATGACTGGAATTACTTATAATCATTAAAGCTGGGGCATTGTAGGAAAAAACCCAAGAACATTGAACCACAAATAGAAATAAACAAAAAAAGGAGAATGACATTCCTGGATGTGTTATCCTTAACTTTATTTCATTAAATGTGGCTCCAGAGGAGTTTGATGAGCGTGCCCCCTCCACCAGCAGGGTTTGGAACTGAGGGAGTCGGGGAGTCAGGAAAGGTCCAAGAATGCTTCAACCCTGTATAAGGGAGACCCCAAAAAGCACAGAGACAGAGGAGAAGGGCCAGGGGTAGAACTGTGGGCAGGGGCGGGGACATGTTACCCTCCTGTTGGTACCAGAGAGACGCCTCCTAACCCTTCCCGAGCTTGACAACCATGTTAAAGAGCCAGGAGCGGGGTGAGTGAGGCAGGGAGGTGTGGAGCAGGCTCAAGCCAGGAGGAGGGGTGTGGGGGCTCCAGCTGGGCTGCATGTGCTCTCACGGCCGTGGATGGTGTTGGCATCCACAAATGAAGACACGTCTTCCAGGTGATCCCACCAGTGGGAGAGATGGTCCTCGACGATGGTTCGGAACCAGGGCGTGACCCGCGCCTGGCCCCATGCAGCCCTGTCCAGGAGCTCGGCCACCTGCTCCCGGCTCAGGTAGCGGTAGCTCTTGACCTCACGGGGGTCAGGATCCACCGTGAGGTTTTTCCTCACCAGAAGGATGTAGGCCACCTCGTGGTCCCCCCAGACCTCGTCTGATGGGCTGTGGTGGTAAAAGCGAGTCATGAAGACGAGGTCCTGGAGAGAGATCTGGGGGCATGGAATTCCATGAGCAGGCAAGCATCCCCCACCATCACCCCATAGAGACCAGTGGGTCAGTTCAGAGCAGAACTGCAGGGGACACGAGAACAGCGCCGGGTCCCCCTGTTTCACAAATGCACTGTGCACCTCCAGAGAGTCAGACCTAGAGCCCACAGACTGATCAGCAGCACCTTGGACGGAACCTCCTTGCCCAGCCCTGTGGCAGCTGGGTACCTGCTCCGAGGGAATCCTCAGCTCCGCCTGCAGCCTGCGCAGGGCCGCCCGGCGCATCCCCAGGGCATCTGAGTCCTCCATCTCCTCCGGGATGTACAGGGGGTGACTGGAGCAGGAGTCTGAGAAGTGGCCTGCAGGAGGGGTGGGTGCTTAGCAGACACACACCAGGGGAGTCACCTTCTACCCCCCATCCCCGGCAGCCGCAGCTCTGAGCTGTCGGCAAAGGTCCCCGCTCCCGTGAGTGAATCTGCCAAACTTGAGGATGGTGGCAGGTTCTCCCCAACTCCTGAGCCCAAGCGATGGGGAGGAGGTGCTGTGGTGGCCCAGAGCCTGTGGCTGGGGTCACCTGGAAACGTGTACTTGGCGTCTGACCGCTGCTGGACCAGGAGCTCGTTGTCCATGTTGAAGATGAGGACAGAGAAGCCGCGGTGCAGCAGTCCTGCGGGCAGAGGGCAGTAGTCACGCCCGCATATGGGGCCTGACAGGGACCCCACCACAGGTATCTGCAGAGACAGTCAGCGGGGATTGTCCCCCTGGTGTGCCAGACCCAATGCGGGTGGGTCTCCACCCTAGCCGACCCCAGCCAGTGGCCACTGTCCCCGGGCGTCCTGCTCTCATCGCAATGGGCGGCGGTTCTGGAACAGCAAACAGAGAGAGGGAGGCGCTGGGAGAGGCCCCTGAAGGGCCCTGGGCCTGCACGATGCCCACCTTTGTTGATATTCTCCCGCAGGTGGCAGTTCCTCTTGGTCTCAGCCCCAATGATCTGGTCGTCCTCATCAATGACAATGCACATCTCATCCATCCGCTTCAGCTGAAACTGGTCCATGTGGCTCGAATCTGACATTCCTGCGGAGGGGTGTGTGTGGGACAATGATTGCTGAGGAGGACACAGCAGTCCACCCCACTGCACGCACCCAGCCCAGCCCAGAGAACGAGTGACCCTCAGCTGCTGCTCCTGCGAACTCCACCAACACCCACGTTGGGGCCAGGTGGTTCTGGAAGAAGACAGGACAGGACAGGAGCGCCCCACGGGCCTGCCATAGTCTGCAACTCCTTATACTTTCCCGAAATTCTGATGGTCAGCAGTGCTCATGTACATATGACAAGCCAGTCCTTAGGGCCAGGTACTGGACCCACATTCTTTCTTTATTTGGGGGGCGGGATCCATAATCGGTGATGCTCAGGGGTGATTCCTGGCTCTGCACTCAGGTACTCGGGGAACTATATGGAGTCTAAGCATGAAACCAGGATCAGCTGCGTGCAAACAAATGCCCTCCTCACTATCACTCTGCCTCCCACATTCCCTTCTTTATGAGCCTCTTCCCCAGAACCACTGAGAATCGTGTGAAGATCCAGAACCCCGGACTGAGCCCCTCCAGGTCTCGCCTCTCCAGAGGCCTCTGAGGGACAGGGAGCCCCCTGGCAAGGCGGTGATGAGCAGCAAGACAGCTGGGTGCCAGTGTGTGTACAGGAAGCCATGCGGGGCTGGGCTGAGGGTGCGAGTCTATGCCGGCTCCATTTTTAAGCTCTCTGGAATTGCTAACCTGGGACGTCCAGGGATCTGTGACATTTACATGCTTGAAGGCAGCGGCCTCAGATTGCTTACCCAGACAGATAAGCAAGGTCTGAGTCAGGAGCACTGTTACTCCTCAACAGTAGCATAGACCATTGGCTGACCCTCGGCCAGGCTTCAGGTTGGACTCGGATCCGTGTGTGGATCTTCTAGGCAAATAGCTTTGTCTCTGCTTAGAGAGTGGAGCTCGTCCCCTGTGCAATGATTAACCCCCCATTACTCCCCACTCAGCGTGTCCCCCTCGTGCCGCACTTACTGAGTTCCTCCTGCCCATAGGAAAGGCTTTCCCCTTACCTCTGTGTATCACCGTGTATGCTGAGGAGAGTTGTCTCTGGTCACCAGTGGTGGACCCGGCTCTGATCACCAGTATGCAGGCAGGATCAGAATCTCCTCGCGCCTATGCACCCTGAATCTCCAGCTGATACAAAATGCCCTATTTATAGGTGCGCACCCACCCCACCCCCTTTAGCTTCTCTCGATTGAACTTCTCCTGGTGTCTGAGCAAGAATGCAGGAGGCTTAGCTCTGATCCTCCGTGCTGTGATGCGCCCCACCTCAGGGCCAGTGTCAAGACAGAAATGACAAGCCGGATCCAGTGCCCATGCATGGATCTAGTGATTCTCAGCGAAATTCTTGGCTGGCGGTTCAAAGCGGTGACCCGAGGGTGCGGTGCTAGTCTCCAGTCCGCAGCATTGAGGTTTCCGGGCTGCCCCGGTCGTGCGGGGGCTTCCAGGACTGCACCTGTCAGTCTCAGGGGACCACGCGGACGGGGGCCTAATCCAGGTCGGGTGCAGGTAAGGCAAGCACCGTAATCACTTAACCACCTCACAGAGCCCCCCCACACGACCATGACATGTTTTGGGGTTTTTGAGCCACACCCAGTGGTGCTTAGGGCTTACTCATGGCTCTGTGCTCAGTCATCACTCTGGTGGGGCTGGAGGAACCCTATGTAGTGCCAGGGATCAAGCACTGTCAGACACAGTGGACACAAGCACCCTACCACAGTGCTCTCCAGCCCCTAGGATTACTTAACCAGCAATCACTGCTGATCTACAAAACTTCCAGGGGTGGGTGTGGGGAGACAGTTGACAGAGGTGGGAAGTCAGGGCCTGTTCCGAGCCCATGTTGCCCAATACCAACATTAAAACAACACCGAGGGCGTATGGTGCTGCCAGCAGGTCAATCTGTACCTTTGAAGGGAGTGCATCAGCAGTCTGATGCCGCCTTCAGACTTCCACATATCCCAAAATTGCTGCTGTTTCTTTGACCAGACCCCAAAATCTTGGGGCAGAGTTTACCAAGAAAGTAAACAGCCAAAAGTTAGGTATGTGGGAGACATACCCACAAACTACCTCTGGCACAGTTATATAATTGGAGGCCTCTCTGGTTCCTGATCAAACTGCTTAACGGCCATGATCTCAGAGACACAGAGTCAAATCTTGGCACCCAGCGGCTTTTGGAAGAGATGTGTCCAGTCCCCGCAATGGGTTACTGGCGCCAGACCACCCCAGGGGGGAAAAGATGCTGTTCCTCTGACTGCTCCTCCTTGGCGGCTTCCCCTTGGCGGCTCCCACCATCCTCCAGAGGCCATGGACAGTCAGTTTTGGGCCCGCAGTGACGAGACACGCGGGGCCTCATGGGATTGGGGTGGAGCCAGCCCTTTCCTCCCCGCCCCAAGGAGACCCCAAGTCGCCGCCCACGAGTGGCCTCTCTGGCTCCTGATCAGTTGTTTAACAGCCATGATTCCAGATACTCAGAAACAAATCTCGGAACCCAGCGGCCCTTGGCAGAAATGCGTCTGGACCCCGCAGTATGTTACTGTCGCCAGGCCACCACAGGGGGGAAAGGGTGCTGTCCCTCGGCCTGCTCCCCTTGGCAGCTTGGTGGCCGCCATCCTCCAGAGGCCATTGGATGTTCAGGTCTTGGCCCTCAGTGATGAGACACATGAGGCTTCATGGGATGTGGATTGCGCCGGCCCTTTCCTCCCCGTCCCAATGAGACCCTGTCACACCCACAAGTAGCCTCTCTGGCACCTGATCAAGCTGCTTAATGGCCATGATCCAAGAGACTCAGGAACAAATATCGTAACCCAGCAGTTTTGGCAGAAATCCCTTCATATTTAATTGCTAAAATTTTGGAATTCCAAAATCACGTAGCCATTACTGCAGCTGTGCAACATCATATGTTGTTGATTACCAACAATAGAAAACAAATTGTCTATGGTTGCCTTTTTGGCAGATGTGAGTGTTGGGGTAAAATCCCAAATAACAATGGTGTGTCTGGTGTCAAAATATTGAGTGTGATCAAAGTAGAGAGAGAGTAATGTGGAAATCATCTGCTCCACGGGTAGGGGGAGGGTGTGGGATGGGGGAAACGCTGTGGGTTTTGGTGGTGGGAAATAGGCACTAGTGAAGGGACAGGTATTTCATTGTATGACCGAGACTTACACCCGAAAGCTTTGTAACTGCTCTCATGGTGATTCAATAATAAAATTATAACAAAGGGGAAAAAAAGGTAAGGTGGATTTCATGCCCAATTCAATCAGCCTAACTAATGGCTGAATAAATAGCAATACTCCTACATTAAAAAAATAAATAAATAAAATAAAATATGGCTTTGTCTCTAAATAAATAAATAAAACAAAACTGAAAAACTCAAAGGCAAAAGCAGCCAAGAATGCAGCTGTGAAAGAAAAACAAACCAGGAAACTGAGCAGAAGATCCAAGCAGAGCCTGTCCCTTAGGCCCACCCTCAGCGGGGCTGTGCTGACAGCTACACCCTTGGGAGTCCCACGGTGGAGACAGTGGCCCTGTTGGCCCTCTCCCTGCCTCGTGTTCTCCCTGACCCCACCTCCTCAATCACAGCAGTCAATTCCGGACCCCACAAGGGCTACTGGCCCACCTGTCTGCCCAGTGGTTTGGCTCACTGCGTGGCATCAGGTGTGACCTGTGCTGTGAGGAGCTGCCGGAGGCTCACCCCAAGACCCCGGTCTGGGCCTTGTGCCTGAGAGGTACAGAACTGCCCCGGGTCCCACTGCTCCTGCACTTCCTGGTGCCCTCCTGGCCCCATGCTGTGTGGCTTTCACATTCCGTCCCTGGGCTGCGGGTCCTGTGAGCCCAGGATGCTCTACCCTGCCATGCTTGCCTGTGGTCCTGCCCCATCAGCCATGTCTCTCACCACTGAGGGTGGCGCCATCATGTCCCTGGCCAGATGTTCCTTCTCACGTGTGAGCTTTGGGGTTACTCCGGCTTCTCTCTGGTACAACCTGACAGCAGGTGGCCCCATGGATGTCACCACTGCCCCCACCACCTTTCTGTTCCTGAGCCTCCCTCAGCGTGCCCTGCCGAGACTCTCCCATGCCAATTTGTTTTCCTGGTGGTGGTGGTGGTTAAGCATAAGGCTACTCACAGGTCACTCTCGGTGACCCTCAGTCCACCGGCCGGGACGGGTCCGTGCTCAGGCTGGCGTGCACCATTGCTTCTGTCCCAGACCTTCTGCAGTCTCCCAGCCATGGCTGCACCTTCCTGCAGCCACGAGCTCCTCTTTCTGGAGCCTGGAGGACACAGTGACAGTGAAAGGACGGGGAATAGAGCTGCTGTGTCCTGTGACAGGAGGCTGCCGATTGTCTGAAGGAAGTGAGCCACACCCCCTATGGCATCTGCAATCCAGGGAGGGTGTTGGTGTGCCCATTCTGGACAAGGCCTGTGAATCCCCAGTCCAGAAGGTTCCTGGGGGTGGGTTGGGGACAGTCAGTAGTACGGGGAGGGTTCAAGTACAGGCCTTGCACACAGCTGTCTGGGTTCAACCCCTGGCACCTCATAAGGTCCTCTGAACACCACCAGGAATGGCCCCTGAGCACAGAGCCAGGAGTCAGCTCTGAGCACTGCTGGAGCACTGCTGGAGGCCCCCAACAAACCAGAATCTTCCTGGAGAAGGCTGAGAAGGGTGGCTGGGACTGGTGTGTTTGGGCATGAACTGCAGAACTGAGAGAAGGTGTGGACGCAGGGAGGACGCAGAGCTAGGAGGGGGCAGACCGGGACCGGCTGGGTGAGGAGGTGCCCCCAGGATTAGACACTTGTGCCTAAAGAGAAAGTGACTGAGGAATGGGCTCAGGGAGAGGTGGGCGCTTCACAGTGCCCAGGTGACAAGGGGGTGCCAGCCGGCCATCCTAGGGCTGAACTTGGGAGCTAGGACCGAGGAGACAGGTTCAGCCTGGATCCCAATTCCAGGTACTGTGCGGTGGAAGGGTGACACAGGTAAAGTGGATTGGGG